ATAATTTTTCGATAAATATTGATTAATATATAAGTATTTATTGTTTCTATTATATATATGATTATTGTTGGAGATATACAAAATTGCCTGCTTGTCTGCTTGTCGGTCCGAAATTTTCGTGACTCGGTTTCCCATGAACCAATTTTTCCGGAATTGTAAAAAATCGGAAAATTTATTTTAAATATTTTATGAAAAAAGATAATTATGATATAGTAAAAGAATCTGTAAGAAAATAAAATTCCGATGTACTTTTTATTGTAACAGAAGATAATAAATAAAATTTTTTAATTAAAAGTCGGTTTGAGGTTAGAATAATAGTTCGTTTTCCGAAAAAGTCACTCCATGGGAAACACGGTCATCAAAAAGTCGGAACATAAAAAGAGTGATTATAGTAATTAAAAATTTAAATAATTTTTAATAAAATTGACTTTTGAAATAAAATTTATCTTTTTCTATTATAAATTAAGTGATAGGAACATGATATTTTAATTTTTCTTGAAACTGTTTAAATAAAATGTTGTTTTATTTTGTATATAAGGGGGCAAGATAGGTAACGAGGCCGAATAAAAGCAGATTTTTGAGATTTTTTTTCTCGGTTCTGAATAAATATAATTAATTGTAAGTTTTTACATGTAAAAGAGTTATTTTTAAAGTGTATTTCTGAATTTTTGTATGAAGAAATATTCAATATTTATCTCGTGGTGGCGGTAGTTCGTCGGCGTTTAAAAAAAGAGACGGCGTGCGGTGCGTAACGTCTGGCCTCACAGGGTTATCTGAAATCAAAAAACCAAAGTATAATAATGATTTGTTTTTCCAATTTACATCGAATCATCTATTCCAGGGCCATAGTGAGCATCCTCTGAAACAGTTGTAGAGTCCAAACAATCTTTTTTTTCTTGTCTACGAGCTGTTCTTCCCTCCTTCGAGCTTTCCAACGATTTTCGTTCGGCGTGAAGTATTCGAGACTCGTCCTCTTTCCGGGCATATTCGTGGGCAGAATGACCGATGTTGACTCCCATGGAATGTAATATGCTTAAATGAGCCGTGGTACCGTCATTGAATGTACATGCAGCAATGTTTGCAGCCACTTCAACCACCGAGAAGCCAGCTTGAAGATGTTTTGGAGTGATTTTCCAAACAAGTTGATTAAAACTTTCATTGGAGTTTTGACTGAAACCACCAACACATCGTTCTAATAAAACATCTGAACTTAATTCTTCGTAAATCGGTTTGATGGTTTCTAAAACAATGCTCGGAAGTGCTTTGTAGTCGTGTTTGTAGGATGCCAAAGAATCTGTCGCAGAAGCTTGCTGCCAAGAACACCAGGAGTCTTCGCCGCTCGGGCATTTCTCGTGCTGTGGATCTTCATCCGTGGAGGCGTAATGATAATATGTGGCCCATATCGCATTTTTCATTTTTTCGATCGAATCGCAATTTCTTCTTATGGCCAGCTCGTAATAAACTGCCAATTTATCGATCATTTTACCAGTTAGTTTATTTTTTCCGGACAGAATCTTTTTCTTCACTACTTTTCCTTTCGTTTTTGTAACTTCCACAACTGTGTTTACCAAATTTCTTAGACGGATACCCATTCGTTTTTGGACATGGCCAACGCATTCTTTTTTCTTAATCAATACATCATCACCATAAGGAGCAGCTTTGATTATACCACTGTAAGTCTTCGAGTCACTGTCTCCGATATAGTTTAAATATCTTACTTTATATTTTTTTACAGAGCGCTTGAACATTTCAATTATGGAATCCACCTCCATTTTACCGGAAGATCCTTCATGGTTGGCAGCACATTCGTTTTCATGATTTTCAAACCACTCTTGAAACTCAGCCGAATTTAAATTTGATTCCCAATACTCACATTTTTTGCAATAGCCACTTTTTACAACTAAATCCAGGACTTTCCCTGTGTAGAGTCCTATTAGCGACGTAACTCCATATAACGAAGTAAAACCTCGTTTTTTCCAGGTTCCATCTCCAGAAACATGTAAATCCGATGAATTTTGTTGTTTTTTTTCTTCGTCTGCAGCAAATAATAAATACTTTTCTGTCACAGTATTCGCACAAGAACGAATGTTTTCCATAACTGCATCGTATGAAGTATGGCATCCAAAAAAATCACCCATGTCCATCAGGCCACAAAACTTTTTACATCCAGCATATCCCAGGCCAAATAATCGCATAACATAAATAAATCGACGGTTTATCTCATAAGAATGGCCGAGTAACGGGCTTGAATGTATATATTGTGGATTACACTTTTCACACTGCACTGCAATTTTAAATCCGATTCCACGTGTTTGACATTCTTCAAATTTAATTTTTTCATTGCAGCCTTTTTTAGAACACTTCACTAAAGTGGATAGAGTAGTAAAAACAGTTATAAAGTTTATAAAACGATAACCAGTTGTAGAATTTTTCGGCACTATGATTTCGTTGCATTGTTGAACTTTTTTTTCTGACGAACTGAATGAAGCCTTGTTAGTCTCGGCTGTAGATGGATTGAAATATTGTTTTCTTTTTCTTGGTCTTGATTTATCAGTGAAATTTTCGTGTCGATCTTTTCTAGTTCTTTTACGACTTCCGCCCATTTTGTTAAAATTATAAAATATAGTACAAACGCACAAACGTATAACTGAATCGTTCGAAATTTCGAGCTAGACTATTTCGTTTTCTCGTGGAAATATACCTGGCAATATAAGCAAATACTTTCACGTAGTAACACAAACAAAGGCCCTTTAAATACCATACCTCGGTGTGCGAACAACAGTTTCGGAGAGAGGGAGAAAACAGGGAGACAAACAGCTGCCGCCGTATACCTACCTGCCTCGAGCGCTTTCTACGACTTCGAACACTATTACGAAATAACCGATATATCTCAGCGAGTTTTAGTCCGATCGACTTGAAATTTTCACAGGATATTCCTGAGATGTTGTACTTTCATATAAAAAATTATCAAAAAAAATGTTTTTTTCAAGTTGCTAACCTATCTTGCCCCCTTAATATGTCGAAAAAAATCGTATATGATAGCTTAAAGAATGATTCATTGCGTTTCTGTTGATGCTAATCATTACTTTAATTACTGATAAATACTCCGTCGTATAATCTTCTTTTTTATTATAGACATACTGATAAACTTAACGAATATCGTCGACCATATGTTAGATATTATATATAAAAAAAATTATTAATTTTTAACCGTAACGAATTATAACGAACACAACGTGTATATCACTGCGCGTGATAACTTACCAAGTTACCAAGGCACTGCCGTGTTTTCTGATTCTAGTCTAGTATTTTCCGGTCTAGTACTTTTCCGAGATTCCGTTACGTATATCACTGCGTGTGATAACTTACCAAGTTACCAAGGCACTGCCGTGTCTTCTGATTCTAGTCTAGTATTTTCCGGTCTAGTACTTTTCCGAGATTCCGTTTTCCGAAATCCGACTGTCATGGGACAGTACCCTAATAGCGTTTTCGGCCCGATCGGATTTGCGACCTGGATTGGATTAATCTTTCCTATTGGTTGATGTCACACGCTCTACCAATAGGAGAGCGCAAAACGCCATTAATCCAACTCAGGTTGGTGCAAACCCGGCCGGGCCGAAAACGCTATAAGTCTTACGTCTTAATTTTTTTTTATGTGCCATGGCCTTTAAGCGATCTTAAGTCATAGGGTCCGCGCACAAAGATGGTCGCAACTGAGTCGTAGTCGTAAGTCGTTGTCGTAGGTCAACGCACAAGGATTTTACGTATGTCGTTTACGTATATCCTATTGCGTCAGTTGACGCAAACAACTGACGCAATAGGATATACTTAAACGACATACGTAAAATCCTTGTGCGTTGACCTACGACAACGACTTACGACTACGACTCAGTTGCGACCATCTTTGTGCGCGGACCCATAATCGGTGAAGTTGGCCAATAGCCAACTAGAACGAATTGGTTAAGACTGGTTAAAACTTCTGACGTTCTGACTTGTGGCTTATTATAGAAGGCCTATAAAGCCGAATGTCCACGATACTAGAAATCGGTCCGAGATTTCAAACAGAGAAAAAAATTAACAAATTACATTTGAACAATTTGATCACATGACCATTGCGATTGGTCAATTCTTTCTTCATCCGAGGTCTTGGACCGATTTCTAGCATCGTGGCCAACACAAGGCTTAACGCTTGCGAGCTGCGAAGCTGCACTGCATGTATGTACGACGTCACTAGAGCTCTAGATTTACATACGTCATTAGCCAATATCCAGTCATTTGGGAACGTATCTCCAGTGCAGTATCCAGCAAAATGGCGACCATTGGATACTGCACTGAAACCAATGGGTACATTCAGTACTACAACCGCTCACTGAGCGCTCAGTGAGCCTTTGCATTTAATTGGCATATTCCATTAGATCTAAAAATATACACCAATTAGATATAAGAGCTCATTGAGCGCATAGTGAGCGGTTGTAGTACTGAATGCACCCAATGACATATACAGGGTGTCCCGACCTTCTTTGCCAATCACTTTTGTGTAGATAGAGCGGACTAAACTGGGGGTTGATTCTGTATCTTCAATCAAGGTAAAAATTACAAAAGTGAGCAAATTTACTAGGTGTTGACCAATGAAATAATCAGTATTCTAGTAAATTCACTCACTTTTGTAATTTTCACCTCGTTTCAAGATACAGAATCGATCCCCTGAGATTTGTAAATCTATTTGTAAATAGATCTATTTGTAAACAGATCTCTAGATTTGTAAATCTAGAGCTTTACTTGTTCTTTGTAGCTCAACTTTTCGCACTGTTCGTCTTTTTTTTTCTCCAATCATCAATGTGGAGAGAAAAGGAGGAAAAAGACGAATTGTGCAAGAAGTGGAGCTAAAAAGAACAGACCTATCATCAAGTGGCATTATCAAATGTCAAGCACTTGTAAGATACGGCGGACAAGACGGATATTGTGATACAGTTGTCTTGATAAGTTTCTCTTGGTTTTTCCGGTAGCGATTGGTAGCGATCAGTAGCGATCAATAGCGATCTTTCACGATCTTTCACGATCTTTCACGATCTTTTTCTGTGTCCAACGTAAGTCCAACTGTGCATGGGTATGTTCCGAGTTACGCATGAAACGCACGATATATCGTTTTATCCTTCTTTATTAATTGGTAAACAACAAGGACAAATGATACATCATGCGCTTCATGCGTAACTCGGAACGCACCCCATGAAAGCACGTTTAGCCGTTTGGCACGTCAATGGTATTAATGGTGGGCAGTGTCACGCTAATGCTATGAGAAGCAATCTCTTCTAGCCAAAAGAAAGAATGGAGTTGTTAGTCGCGCAGTATACTCTGCTCGAGAAAAATATATTGCAAAATATTAAACGCAATGGCATTCAACACCGGTACGTCATTGACACTCATTCTTTCCTAGAACGATTTAACCTTGCAACGAGCCGTTTTAATGCGGCTATTATGTTTTGTTATGAAATTACAGAAAAAGATATGTTTATCCAGTGTTCAACAAGTGAATTACGTGCTCATAATTTGACAATGATAGTAATTGATTGTTTTTAAATCAGTGACGATAGAAAATTATATAACTTGAATCAAATTTTGATTAATTTTGTCAGATTAAACCAAATATATTAGATTATATCAAATATATAAAATATAGAAAGAGAAATTAGATTAGAGGCAAACTTTGCTATATATGAGCATTCTGCTATAAGCAAAATTATTTTTTACCAAAATCTTAATCTTTCATGTATATTAAATAACAAAAAAATGATATTTTAAGATATATTTGCTCGATGAGTTAATTAAGAGTCACTTGGTCAGCGTTGCCATGTAACAAAACTAACTTTATATATTATGGATTTATCTTCTGTAGGCCAAATGCAAACAGTGGATTATGGCTAGGTGCTTTAGTTGGCCTGAGTGCTGTAATTACGATATTAAGAGAAGAAAGTTATTCCGAGATATGTCTCTCTGTAGGAAATACTGGCTTCGGTCTTGTTCTCTGTTGCCTATGTCTTTATGCACGACTTTCAATAAAACAAATTATAGCGAAAGACTTTCATGCTGTATACTTTGTACCTGCAATTATAACATCCATACTGTTTCTACTTGTTGCTAACAAAGGTATATCAATCTGCAAATTATTTCTTTATTGAATTAAGAAGACCTGTGTGTTGATATGAATATTAGTAACATGTTGATATTTATTGGAATTGAATAATATATGCGCAACTCTAGTTCTTATTATATTTTTATATTATAATTAAATAAGAACAGGACTATTGACTAGTGTCACATGGGGCCTAACTGTTGGAAGTTTGGGCACATGGGGTGTTTTACAACTAATGTCAGCTTTTCCATGCTGTTTTACAATGGGAGAAGCAACAGCGGTTACGCATGGTTTTATTTTGTTCTTGATGTCGGTTGTTACTAATTTACCCTTACGATATCATTTACCCCCGATTCACGATAATGACATCAGTACAGTCTTGTTACAGGTAATAAAATGCAAAAATTAATTGTTGTAATCTTTTTTTCATATAATATATCATATAATATATCATATGTTACAGGTTGTGATATCATATGTAATGTCGATATGTTTCCTATGTGGATATTTTCCTGCTCTGCGCAGTACAACATATTTTTACTTGATGATATTCAGTCTCTTATGTTTCATAATTCTTCCAATACTTTACATTATTCTTGATCAAAATCCAATAGAATGGATAATTTCTTTTTCTTTTAGTAGTTATGAAAGGGTAAATAACTATATAATATTTTACTATAGTTTACGCTATTTTTAAAATGAATTATAAGATAAGACATAGATTACAAATAATAATATATTTTTTTAATTGATCTTGTTTTATTCTTATATGTTTTAGATTGCAATATTTATATATTGGGCAGTGTGTTTTCTGTTAAGTATCTTTATTATAAGCCATCAGATATCACTGAAATCCCAAGCTACAAGTTCTACCAGAAAGCATTTTCATATATTAGCCACATTTGTGTATATTCCTGGCATGATATACAATCTTCCATTATTATATCTTGCTAGTGGTGTGATGTTTGTACTACTTATTGCTCTTGAGGTATACAGTTATACAATTATTGCTATATATATATATATATATATATATATATATATATTATAATTATTAGGTTTCAGTAGTATAAGTCTCACTTAATTTTTATATATTTGATACGATAATTATGTTCATTAATTTTTAGGTAATCAGATTTTTGAAAATCCCGCCTTTAGGAGAAATTTTACAGCAAGGATTTATTGCATTTGTTGACGAAAAGGATCCTTTGCTTTCATTAACACCTATATATCTATTATGTGGTTTATCATTACCCCTTTGGATGCCAACTAATAATTTGACGCTAATGGTATTACTCAGCGGTGTACTGACGGTAGGAATCGGTGACACTGCTGCAAGCTTCGTCGGTAACAGATGGGGTGCACATAAATGGCTCGACACGGAAAAAACTATCGAAGGCACCATCGCATGTATATTTTGCCAAGTTTGCATAATATTCACGCTAACATGTTGTGGTAGATTTCGGTTCTTATATATTCTTAACAGCTTTTTTCATAAAACTGTTTTATTTATTTTTAATTATTTATGTTTTGCCAGGTTTAATGGATAATTATCGATTACTACTGAGAAGTATTTTGTCGGCTGTATCAATATCGTTGATCGAAGCACGCACAAATCAAGTGGACAATCTGGCTCTGCCATTATTAATGTATGTATGTTTGATGGTTTAAATGGGTCGTTTTTAATTTGATAATCTACATACATGTATGTGTATATATCTATATATATATGCTTTAATTAATTTTTTAAGAAAGTTACCATTAATAACAACCATAGGTAGAATCATTTCATTATATAATTTTTTGTAATTTTTGATCGCTTTTTGTAATGGAAGGAGATGAGAACAAATAGTTTATGCAGAACGTATGTAATATTTTTTATGCTCTTTTATAATAAAAATTATATTTAGATTAATACATTCAATCACATATTGTTTAATAAGTTGCCATATAAATCCATATATAGGCAATTAGCCATGATTGAGGATTAAAGATTGCAAAATTTAATTCTGATAGAAACTATTTAAATCGCGAGCAATTTTAGCGTTATTCTACTTGTTGTTTGCACAACAATACGCTTAATTAGCATATTTCTTAAAGAAACAAACAAATAAGGATGTAATGAATTATCTTTATATGCGCTGTGTCGTTAAGTGGTGATAATGTACAAATATTTATACTTATAACGGCATAACACGTTATATATTTTTCTGTATATATCAGTATATGTGTAACATGTATAACTTATATATTTATTCAAAGAATCGAATTATATGTAAATGATGTATAAAAAAATCATATTGATAGATCAATGCGAATGCGAAGATCGGTGAAGGCAGATGTTGTGCATTTACGCTTTACTAACTTACATTTACTTAAAATCTGTGAAACATCGATTGTGTGCCTGATATATTTCGCTCATTCCTGATAAAGCATTTTTGTATGTGAGTCATATGAACTTTCTGATAAAGAGAAAATTACTAACATATGAATAAAGTTATTTTTCTATTTTACGATGATTGTTCTTTATACCACTGTAGAGCTAAAAAGTCTGAGACTTAAGTGAACCTGATATCGTAATTTTCTTTATTATTATTCCGCTGTTATAAGTCACTTGATTTTTTTAAGCAGGGCGATTTGGAATAATCATTAATTTAAATGTTTATTTTAGTGTTTTATTGACCACACAGCCTTAAAATCTCAGTTGAGAAGTGGAATAATTACATAGGTAAAATCTGATTTGAGATATAAAATAATAATTAAAGTAATTGTGATCAGAGTAGTTACGTGCTTAAAAAATTATTAAAAAATAATCTTTTTAAAAAAAAAATAGTTAAATGTCCATGAAATGTACCAATTATACGCCAGAAATAAATCGAGTTAATATATTAACACAGAAAAAAAATTTTTATATTTACTAAAAATTTGAAAAATTTGATTATTTTCAAAGAAAGGCATTTTATATCTCGAGTTAAATTTTAAATGAGTAATCGTTTCACTTCTCAGCTAAATACAGTTTCAATCGATCTCAGTCAAAGTATTGATTAGAGATGAATTGAACCGCCCGCGTCTCAAAATACAAAACTCCATTCTGAATATCTCATCTGACACGCTCTTAAGATGAGATTCGAATAAATTCTTGATTCTTTTCATCCTTGATTCTAGAATATTATTAGTATGATCTATCGATATCAAGATAGTCCGATGTATTAGTATTCTGTCATCTCCACAGAATGATTTCACATGTGAGAGATCATTCGTATTCGATCGCCTTCACGGTCCAAGAAAATGACAAACGGATATACATTATGTTATATCACTACCTATTATTTAAATTTGTTTTTTACGTGTGTGTGTACGTATGTATATATAATATACATATATTATATAAATATATATATATATATATATATACAGTGTTTAATTACATCGTCGCTATCAACCAGATTTATCTTGACGCGTTAATATTTCCGTCACCAATATCCGGCATGTTAATTACATAAATTCCATTTTGATTTCTTTGTTACACAGCATTTCGTTTATTAGTCACCATCATATTAATATTCGCGACGTGATTAATCAATGAATGGTTGCTATTCATAGTTTTCGTCGATCTTCTGATCGATCTAATTCACGTGTCATACTATATTATGTAATTTTTTTTTCATTCTCAAATACCAATATTCTTTTATATTGAGGGAAGAAAAATAATATATATGTCAACATTATTTATATTGAATGTACTGTTACAATAGATATCAAAGCAACAATGGCAAATTCAATCTCTCATATTAAATAACACTTTGTTATTTTTAACTTCTCATGCGTCAAAATGTAAGTCAATCCGTTTCTGTAGATAGTTTCATCACCATTCAAAAATTAAAAAAAAAATTCATTGTGATTTTTAATCAACGTTCAAAAAATCAAGTAGATATCCATTTTTCATGAAAAACTCCATGATTTTTCACACATTTGTCCCCCATATCGGATCTGCCATTTTGAGTTTTCGATATTTGACTTTAGATTCTTAATAAGCGGCTCGAAAAGCCCTTAAAATACCAAGTTTCATAAAAATCCTGAAAAAATTAGAAAATTCATCCGCCATATTAGATCCGCCATTTTGAATTTTCAAAAGCTGACTTCAAATTCTATATCAGCGGCACTAAAAACCCTTAGATACCAAGTTTCATAGAAATCCTACAAATATAATTATATAATAAAATATTATAATATTTTAACTCACCCCAAAACTTGCAAGGGTGATTTTTACCCCAAAAACCGTTTTTGGGGAAAAACAAAAAATCACGTGTCAAATAGTTTCTAAGGAAGTACTTATATGCGCAGTTACAGAATAATCGGTGATTATCACTTCCCTAGTATTACTTGTCAGTGTATTTCTTGAATCTCATCATATGATATATTACGACTTTTTCATTATCATATACTTTCGATCGCAATGTTTGGAGATATTTGTAGCTCGATATTCGTATTTCTTCTCTTCGCGTTACAGTCTCGTCGTTTGTAATTATTAAAAAGGTATGATGGAACGTAAGGTACACAGTATGAAATTTGCCCGAACTAAAATGATAAAAATATAACGTCTAATTGTATAGAAAAATTTGTGTATAAATATACACACAGCATGCACACACGCATGTAATTCTCTCTCGCGCTCTCTCTCTCTCTCTCTCTCTCTCTCTCTCTCTCTCTCTCTCTCTCTCTCTCTCTCTTATCTGTTTTAATATTGCTTTGCAATCTACAATTCAGGATCTAAAACGTACATATTTACATGGAAAATCTTGAAAATAAAGAACACGATTATGTCATTTTCTAAAGCGTAAGAAAAATTTTATTATTTTAAACGAATAACAGAATCCATATAAATAAAATTGATTATTCTTTTGTATTTAAAATATTAACTTTTAGCACGAGTATTATTGTAAATTAAAATCTCATTTTGAATATGATATCCGTGTTTAGAATGTTCAAAAGAAAATGTTTTATTCCATATAAAGATTATGCGTTTCGCGGGTTTTCTCCGTGTCCAGATCCATTCTTGAGATGTCAACGTTTCGTGAACCTTGCAGTCCACTTCATCAGGGCGAGGGGTAGCCTGATACTCATTCTATCACGCTGCCCCTCGCCCTGATGAAGTGGACTGCAAGGTTCACAAAACGTTGGCATCTCAAGAATGGATCAAGGTACATATCATAGAACAAGTCGGAATCGATTCCGATCGGAAATATTCAATTATTCCCTAGATTTCTATTGTGTTTTCTAGGGAAAACGGAATAATACCGATCGGAATCCATTCCGACATTTCCGACATATTACATGATAGGTACCCTGGACACAGAGGAAACCTGCGAAACGCATAACCTTTATACAGAAAGCACTCGTGGAAGCCTCAAGAATGTTATGTTTTATTCCATCTTGTTCTAAGTTTTTATATGCGTGAACATAAAGATTATCATGAAAGAAGTAAATAAATTGTAAAACTGAGAGATTGCCTCATGTAATATATAGATACCGTAATTTCATACAACTATGGTCCTACGCCACAACTATGGTCCAAACACCCGCGCGCACGACAATCTCTATACGTAGATATAATTGTAGAAATATTAATTAAATTTAAAAACACTAAATTACCTGTCATGTAGACCAGCGAGAACATAGAATAGCTGTGATAACCGATGGTCGAGAAAATTGGCAACTAACCTCGTTATCTGCAAACTTTCTAGCTAGACCATCGGTTATCACGACAAGCTATTCTGTGTTCTCACTGGTCTACATGACAGGTAATTTAGTGTTTTTACATTTAATTAATATTTCTACAATTATATCTACGTATTATATCTACGTATTGGGATTGTCGTGCGCGCGGGTGTTTGGACCATAGTTGTGTGAAATTATGGTACTATTAAAAAAATATATGTACATAAAATTTTTTAATTATCATATATTTATAAAAAGAAGCAAAAAATCAGAACTATACAATAATTATAACGTGATAATGATAAAACAATCACATTAATAATTACATTAGAACGTATGTTATGCCTATATTTACATTCAAATTAAATGTTCTTTAGATTGGGCAAATTTCACACTGTGAAATAATGAATTATAGTGAGAAAATAAGCATTCGTGTTAATTATGCGTTGTTGATTATTGACTTTCATGTTTGCAAACGAATATCATGCTGTGTCTTGTAATTTACGAGCATCTATTTGGAGATTATACAAAGAGATAGTCTCAATGTAAGCATGTGTGCGCATGTACATACAATATTGAGCTTATCTCTTTATATCTACGAGTTGGACGTTAATCGGTCGTATCCAGTCTTAGCACTAGCAAAATAATTAGCATAATAATTAAAATGCTGACGGTAGAATGAAAAATCATTTTTAATGTTACAATATGCAATTAAACTATCGAATTGAGAGAAGCAGAAAGTATTCCCCAACAATTCTACTTTTGTTACATACAAAGGATCGTCATAAAAGCGATAAGATTGATCCTTTAAAGCATCACATGTTAATATCGAATATGAAAAGCGCAGAATTAAAAGTTTTTTAACTTTTCAATTTTACCAATTTCATATATGATAAAATTACAATCAAATATTCATATTCTTAACAACTTGATTCAATTAACAATACACGTATGGAATGGAAATACCGTTGTACAAGTAATCAAGACAATTTTTTCATTTTGTAATTTTATTTTTGAAATAAAAGCGATCAGAAATTAAGGAAAAACA